TCTCCTTTATCCATTCATCAGTCGTTGGACATTTGGGCTCTTTCCGTAATTTGGCTATTGTTGTATTATAAGTGCTCTTATAGACATTGGGGTGCATGTGCCCCTTGAGTCAGTATTTCTGTATCCTTTGGGTAAATACCTAGTAGTGCAATTGATGGTTCACAGGGTAGTTCTATTTTTAACGTTTTGAGGAACCTCATACTGTTTTCCAGAGTGGCTGCATGAGTTTGCATTCCCACCAACAGTGGAAGAGATTTCCCTTTTTCTGTATCCTCACCAACACCTGTTGTTTCCTGTGTTGTTAATTTTAGCCATTCTGATAAGTGAGAGGTGATATTGCATTGTAGTTTTGTTCTTTATTTCCCTGATAATGAGTGGTGTTGAGTGCTTAGCCATCTGATGTCTTCTTTGGAAAAATGTCTATTTATGTGTTGGTCCAAATTATTAACTGGACTATTTGTTTTCTGGGTGTTGAGTTTGATAAGTTCTTGTAGATTTTGGATACTAACCTTTTATCAGATATGTCATTTGTAAATGTCTTCTTCCATTCTGTCACTTGCCTTTTTCTATTTCTCATAGTTTCCTTTGCTGTGCAGAAGCTTTTTATCTTGATGAAATCCCAATAGTTTATTTTTGCCTCAGGAGATGTATCTAGTAAGAAGTTGCTGATGTCAAAAAGGTTACTGCCTGTGTTCTCCTCTAGGATTTTGGTGGTTTCCTGTCTTACATTTAGTTTTTTGGCCTTTTTATTAAAGGTCCAGATGCTGGGGGTCAGGAGATAGGAACCTGCAGCAAAGCAGTATCTATTGATAAGTATCTTGTTGAAATATTATGGAAGTTTCAAGAGCAACCATTGACACCTGGGCATTTTCAAAAATGACTGATTTAACTTCCATACCATGTAATTTAAATTTTGTGATCTATTTTTTGAGAGAGAGAGAGGGTGTGTGTGCGTGTGTAATTAAAAAATACTTAAAGCTAGAGATTTTAGACTTTCCTTGCAACCTGGGGCTCCCATCTGTGCTTTACATTTAAATTTCAAATTCTTCAGCTAGGCCTTCAAAACAAGCTCTCATACTCTCATAATTGAAAATAGGGAACTGTGTGGTATTATCTAATCAGCTGATCTTTGCACTGCATGATAACTTTGTGCTTTCTATGCATCCTTATATATATTTAATATTGACTATATTATTAAAATTAATTAAAAATATATATACTACCTAGCTTAGCTAAAAAGGTCATGGGAAAATACTAAATAGGAATCTATAACAATGCTAATCATTATATTCAAATATTTAATTCAAACTGTAATAAAGATACATGATGATAAAGTTAAGTATATTATTTTAAATAATATAATTGAATTTAGTAAGTTTGTGGAAATGAGAGATCAGATATCTTAAAAGAGATTGCTCATCATTAATTTTAGGAGTGAAAAAAAAGCATTCCACTGATACATAAATGTGTTGTGTTACCTTTATATGTTATAGCCACAACTCTTACCTCCCATCCATGTCCTGACTCTTCTTGTTTAAGCTATCGTCTATCAAGGATGGAAAAACAGTAAATACACAATTCCAAACTATTTCTATTTTTAATGTTAAATTAAAATATAAAATAAATGAAAATAACTTTGTTAAATCACAGATGATTTCTAATCAATACAATTGTGTATACATTGTGCCCACATTTATATTTATATATGCTTTATCCTGCTAAGGAAACCTATATATATGTCTAAAGGTAACCTAAGGCACATTAACACTTTCAGGAGTTTACTTGAGTAAAATACTGATTAGAGTTGGTAAGTTACCAAACTGGAAGAAGTTATGGACACTCCACCAACAGGAACTAGGGGAAGAGTTTTTAGAGAAGAGAACAGAAGCAAAGCAACGAAGTTATTTGGCTATACCCTGAACACTTGTCTTATTTGAGAAAACTCAGTTGGCTGATTGTAATGAGTCATTCTTAGGTGTCATTTTCTTGGATTCTAGCATATGAACTCTGACTTAGGCTTTGGTTTCTTTAGGCTATCAAGGCATTAGGGCAACTTCAGTCTAATGGCTCAGTCTTATTTGATTTACTTTAACATATCCCATTATTTGTGTAAAACATAATCTAGCATTCCTAGTTCAGGAATGTTCAACATGATAATAAGTTTTCATATGTGAGAAGCATTGCAATGAACAGCCTGATGCCTGCATCTTAACTTTTTTCCAATACTTGTCCAAAAATGTTTTTTAGCTAAATTTCCAGTTGTAGAAATATTGTACCAATGAATGTATACTTGTGGACTTTACAAATATGTTTCCAGAAAGCAGTCAAGTCAAAATAAAGCACTGGCATTATCATTTTATTCACTTGCTGCCAAAATTATATGCAACAATTCCAATTTTCTGTTGTTGTAAGCTGGCAGTTTTTATTTTTGTAGCTGAGTATTGTTTCACGTCTTTACTGACCATATATATTTCCTTTTGTAAATTACCTACTTACGTCTTTGCCTATTTTTTAAAGTATTTCTATTTTTCTCATTTATATGTAATAGGTATTTAAAAAATAACAGTATTAACCCATTTTATAATAAGTATTATATCCACTGCTTCTCAATTTGCCATTTATATCTCTGTTTCCTTTGTTCATGTGTTTTGTGGTGTGCGAGGCACTGGCATATATTTCTTTGCTCTGTATAAGTTTTCAGTGTTCATGTAGATACATCTTTCCTTGCCTTTTTTCAATTTTTGATGTCCTGATAAAATCGTATTCCACATTTAAGATTTGTAAAAGTTATATTTCATGTTTCTATAATACTGGCATTTTGTTATTTCATATGTTGACATAATCCATCATAAAATTACTATTAAATATTATGAAAAATTTATAATTTTTTTTTTCAAATGGAGAACTGTTTTTTTTTTCCTGATTTACAAACAGCCTTATAATTAATCCAAAAATAACTAAAGGCTTTACCTAGTATAATCACAATGCAACATTACATTCAAGGAAATGTGGAAGTAATTCCATTCTTCTCTTGATTTGAATGTTCCACTTGAAACCCTGAGTACCACTTCTTGAGCACCCCTTGTTGCTTTCTCCTCTCACTGTACATATTTCGTCCAACCTCCCAGCTGTGCCATCTTCGCATGCTTGGCACGAGTTAAATAGTGATTTGCTAAGAAATAGCTCTTTGTATACATAATCTATGTTATTGCCTATAAAAACTGTATTGCCTTTGCAGTAATAGAATACATTTTAAAATAATGACATAAAACAAATAACCACATAATCCATTAATTTCCCCCTAATTACTAGACTAGATTAGTTTCTTTTTTATTGTATCGTTGACACGCAATGTTCCTCATTGACTCAGCAAGTCTATACATGATGCTATGCTCACCACAAGTACAGCTATCATCTGTCACCACACAACGCTTTTACAGTACCATGAACTGTATCCCCTATGCTCTACCTTTCCTCTCCTTGACTGACTTGTTCCATTACCGGATGCCTATACTTCCCACAACCCTTAGTCCATCTTTCCCATTCCTCCACCTCCTCCTCTTTGGCCCTGTGAGTTCTCTATATTTATGGGTCTGTTTCTGCTTTTTGGTTGTTTGCATATTAATTTTTTTTAGATTCCACATATAACTGAAATCATATAGTATTTGTCTTTCTCTGTCTGATTCATTTCACTTGGCATAATAGCTTCTAGGTACAGCCATGTTTTTACAAATGCCAAGATTTCTTTTTTAATGACTGGGTAATATTCCAGTGTGTGTGTGTGTGTGTGTGTGTGTGTGTGTGTGTGTGTGTGTGTGTACACTTGGGCTGCTTCCCTATCTTGGCCATTGTAAACAATGCTGCAATAAACATGTGATACATAGTATTTATAGTATTTTAGATTACTAGAATGTAACTTCATAAAGCATATTCTTAATCTTGATTTTTTTTCTAGGCACAGGAAAAGTCTCCTACCTAATTCAATTAATATTCTGATAAAATGATATATACTTATTCAGGGATAAATGAATGGTAAAATAGGTTTTACCTAAAATAATAATTTATTCTATTAATGTTTTTGAGAAGAGAGGGTGTGTGTTTTTTTCTTGTTAAATTTATCATATATATTTAGACTGTGTTTGCAATATATTTATAATAATATATTTAAAAACTTTTAACAAAAAAAATTTATGTTTTTATTTATTTTTGAGACAGAGAGAGACAGAGCATGAGCAGGGGAGGGGCAGAGAGAGAGGGAGACAGAATCTGAAGCAGGCTCCAGGCTCTGAGCTGTCAGCACAGAACCCGACACGGGGCTCGACCTCACAGAGCATGAGACCATGACCTGAGCTGAAGTCGGATGCTTAGCTTACTGAGCCACTCAGGTGCCCCTTTATTTAAAAACTTTTAAAGGGAGATGCCACTCTGAGTAAAACAATAAAAGTAATGTCTTAGAAGTGTTTATTACATGTTTCCTTTTCATTAATTGGTTTTGTATACTTTTAAAAACTTCTATATCTTGATAATCCTTTAAATTATATTTGTGAAAGTTTTCTAGATTAAATCCCTCTGTCTTTCTAAAGAAATGATTTTAAGTCAGGTTTTTTGCTTCTAAAGGAATATTAAATGCATTTTATTATTCTCACCTATCCAAAACTTTTGTTGGATTAAATCTCAAAATAGCTTTTCTAGTTACCTATTCAGGGACTGGCATGAGTTATATATGACTCCAGATCTGTTTCACCCAAATCTAAAACTACTTTTTAGGTGTGACAAAAATCCTGACAAAGATGACACATTTTTTTTTTACATACTTGAGATCAAATTAATTCATTAAATGCATACATAAAGAATTTATAAGTGATCATTATTTTAGGATCCCCACCTGTAAAAACTGACTAATAAGAATGATCCTTCAAATACTCCAATTTATTACAACCTAAATTTAAAAATAAGCTCCAGTGTTTCCTTTATGATCTGTGTTCTGCATTTTTGTCACTATATAGCAAATGACTTCTGAATAAAATTTGAGAAACTGAATAAAATAGAAATTAAAAAAAGAAAAACCTCTACGATTGCCAGTTACTTCCAAGTGACCGAGAAAGCAAAAAAGTCTAAACCTGGAACTGAAATTTAGTCATTTACCCGAGAAAATGTATTAGCATATATCATATAGCTTTTAGCCCCCAAAGGAAATTAGCAGGGGCGTACTGTTGTCAGTATCAGAGGAAAATACTAACATAGCACTCTATTATAGACATATTTAAATGTTACAATTCATTGTTTTTATTTTCAAAAATACTTGAAGGCCAAGTCTTTTTGTTTTTGATTTTGATTTTCTTGTACTACTACTTTTCACTGTCATTTCTAAATTTACTCAGTTATCTGTGACTACATGTAATTAGACTGAATTTTTAAGATATTAATCTGTTGCCTGCATTATAAACATTTAAATAGCAAGTTAAAAAAAAACACTAAGATTTCTACTCCTCTTATTTCTGGACTGTTATGGTTAATTTGATGTGTCACCTTGAGTGGGCTAAGGGATGCCCAGAGTGCCAGTACACCATAATTTCTAGATGTGTTCATAAATGTTTCTGGAAGAGGTTAACATTTGCAGAAGTAGACCGGGTAAAGAAGATATGCTGTCACCAGTGTAGGTGGGGGGTCATCCATTATGTTGAGAACCTGCATCAGAAAGGCAGAGGGAGGGCTACTTTATTCTCTCATCTTAAGCTAGTACTTTAATTCCCTCCTGCCCTTGGACATCAGAGCTACTGGTTCTCTGCTTTTTGGACTCCAGCATTTACACTAGCAGTATCCTGCTCTGCCCCTCAAGTTTTCAGGCCTTCATCCTCAGGCTGAATTATCCCAGCGGTTTTCCTGGTTCTCTAGCTTATAGAAGGCATATCATGGCATATCTGAGACCCAGGAACAATTTGATCACTAGCATAGCCAATGGAATACCTGCAATGTGCTTGTCTGAGAAATGCATCTATTAAGTCCATAATAAACACTAACAAATACAGGGTAAGATTTATAGGTAGTCTCTTGGTAGTGAAAGATTTCTTGCTGTTTGTTTCTGTTCATTGTTATCGCATCTGGTAATAATTTCTTTCTATAACTATCTCAGTAATTCATTCAAAAACCCTTATCTTTTCTCAGCCTGGGTCACAATTGAATTCTTATTCATGTTTATAGCAGATTGTCAGTGTTGGAATGAGTCTTGTTTAGGTGGTTCCAGATGGTTAATTCCTTTACTTCTGCAAAATGTTGTGACAATTCTGTGAGATGTATTTTTTCAGAGTTTGAGTTCTGAAGTGTGAAGGAAAGAGAAGGTAGACCTTAGAGAGATACTAGATCAACAGCAAACATACAAACACACAAACAAAAACACCAAGTAGAGAAGTTTCCAGAGACTCACATTATGATTCAGCACATTCACAGTGAGGAGTAGAGGCAGGAATTTGCATTTTCCACACATATATAGAATCCATCTTCCTGAAATCTGGCTTTCTTCATTAAAATGGCAATTTTTTTTATTCCAGTAATTCCAGAATATTACTTTGAACTAAGGACATGCTCAGTAAGTATTAGTGTAGATTATAGATCATAGAGTTTTGATTTGATAGGGTCCTCAACAAACATCGAAACCAATTTCTTTATTTTATTAGTAAGGCAATTGGACCCAGATGGGTAAAATTGCCTCCTGAAGAAATCAGTGTCAGAGCCACCATGTTAAGGTATGTTATTTAAGTCAGCTGCTTGTCAGATATATATCACTAGTCACTATATGTGTTAATACTCCTAAAAAGGAATGAATAAGAATAATCCAAACAATTATTAATAATGCGTAGTTCTCAGAAAAGAAATTTAAGAGAATTAAAAATAAAATGATATTTTAAAGGAAAAGGGACTCCTGTTTGTGTTTCAGGCTTTTTTGGAGTATAACTTCGTAAAATGATGGGCAATGACTCCAGTGAGTTGTCTTCCTAATTACATAGTGGCATAATGGTAACACTGTCAAAGGGCCGGTTTCATCCTTCAGGCATATGTACTAATTTTGTTCCATACTAAAAATCTATGGAATGATTAAGAAATTTTTCTGGTTTGAACCCCTGGTTCAGGGGTCCCTGGGTGGCTCAGATGGTTGAGAATCTGACTCTTGATTTCAGTTCAGGTCACAATCCTGGGGTTGAAGGATCGAGTCCCATGTTGGGCTCCATGAGTGTGGAACCTGCTTGAGATGCTCTCTCTCTGCTCCCCCCCTTAATCTTTCTCACTCTCCCCTCTCTGTCCCTCTGCCTCTCACTCATGCTTGCTTACTCTCAAATAATTTTTAAAAAATCGCTCATTACTTGTGTAGTTTTAGTTTCAAGATAATCTGTTTTCGTCTCTGCCCCTTTGACAACAGAAGATCTGCTTACTCATTCTCTAACTTTGAGAAACTGCTCTCTTTTCTGGGTGGTTTTCCTTCCAATTATGTTTTAGAATTCTTTAGTAGAAAAGAAAAATTCAGTGAATATAAATTTCTAACAAAAATGCTGCTAATTTCAATAATAAAGCAGAAAGAAATAAGACAGTGAAGTTCAAGTTACACATATTAAAACAAAATTAATCCTCCTGTTCTATATGCAGTATGTTTTTTTTTTTTTTAAAGGATAAATTGCCTTTACTTGAGTTTCTATGACGAACAGCTTTCTCCTGGGAAGCCTTACCTTTTACCCTGCCTATTTCTAGAGGCCGTTAAAAAATGTTTAAAGAAGACAACTTATATGATAGAAAAAAAGTCTATTTAACACTTCCTGAAGTGGAAAGTTTCACTGCAGAGAACTGCAAAATGGGCCTGAAGATAAGCATTTTTAGGATAAAGCATAAAGAATAAGGAAGAGAACAATATAAGATATTTGATTAACTAGGACTACACAGTCCACCTCATTTGGGGTAAGAAGGTCAGAGTTGGCTTGGTGTTTGGCCATTGACCGACTGGATATATTGTTTCTGGTCACACACATCATTTACAAGGACACAAAGTTTAGCTTTGTGTACTTGAGGCAGGTGTGGCTTTATCTTGGGACTTGTACTTTATTTCAACAGTCCACCTGTTTTATCATCCTTTTGACCATTCAAACAATTTGATCAAAATATAGGTCTTGGTGTGCCTATCAGTTATCATTGTCTCTTTGGGACTCAGTGTATTGTTCATAAGAGATGATGTCAGACTCCTTTTCTTGGAGCTGGAACTCCTATTCTTAGAGTTCGTCTGTTCCCTTTTGTTATTATAGTCAGAGAGAGATGATCTGTTCAGCTGGTAAGTGGTTGCCTACGTGCATTTGAAATTTTTGAGATGATGCAGCATATTAGGGAAATAATAATAATTATTAGTAGCAAAACAATGCCCATGGTTTGGAGCATGCTTTTGAGTCAGGGTTCCCAAGACCCAAACCTACTAGAATCAAATAGATCAAGAAATGATCCCAAAGAGGGGCACACAGGCTTACCTTGATTTGTTGTGCTTTGCTTCATTGCACTTTGCTTTACCGCACTTTGCAGATGTTACATTTTTTACAAATTGAAGGTTGTGGCAAACCTGTGTCAGGCAAATCTGTTGGTGCCATTTTTTTCAACAGCATTTTCTTTTTTGTCTCTTTGTCACTTTTTGGTTGTTCTCACAATATTTCAAACTTTGTCATTATTATTAAATTTGTTATGGTGACCTTTGATGGGTGATCTTTGCTGTTACTATTGTAATTACTCTGGGGAGCCACAGACTGTGCCCATGTAAGATGGCAAACTTAACTGATGAAAGTGTGGGTTCTGAGTGCTCCACCAAGCGGTGGTTCCTGTCTCTCTCTTCAGGCCTCCCTATTCCCTGAAATATAGCAGTATTGAAATTAGGCCAATTAATAACCCCTACAGCGGCCTCGAAGTGTTCAAATGAAAGGAAGAGTCATATATCTATCTCACTTAAAATGGAAAGTTAAAAAAGATGAGGCTTATTAAGAAGACATGGGAAAGCTGAGATATGCCAAAAGCTAGGCCTCTTGTGTCAAATAGCTAAGTTTTGAAAGCAAAGGAAAAGTTGTCTTTTCCTTCATCAATTTTTTTTTTAAGTTTTTAGTTAAATTTCAGTTAACATACAGCGTAATAGTGGTTTCAGATGTACAACATGGTGACTCAGTGCTTCCATACGACACCTGGTCCTCATCATCTACTTCTCTCATCCCCCTACCCCCTTCCCTCTGGTCACCATCTGTTTCCTGTATAGTTAAAGTCTTGGTTTCTTGGTTTGCCTCTCTCTCTTTTTTCCCCTTTGCTCATTTGTTTTGATTCCTAAATCATACATATCAGTGAAATCATACAGTATTTGGTTTTCTCTGACTGACTTATTTCACTTAGCATGATAGTCTCTAGTTCCATCCATGTCCTTGCAAATGGCAAAATTTCATTCCTTTTTATGGCAGGGTGATATTCCATTGTGTGTGTGTGTTTGCATATATCACATTTTCTTTATCCATTTGTCAATTTATGACCACTTGTGTGGATTCCATAATTTGGCTATTGCAAATAATGTTGCTGTAAACATTGAGGTGCATATATTCCTTTGAGCCCCTGTGCTACTTTATTCTTGATCCCCAACCTGACAGTTGAGCTGCCTGCGTCTGCAAGACCTGCCAACCTGTGTGCCCCAGGCGGGCAGGAAGTTCTCAGGACGCCAAAACAAGACAAGAAGGCAATAGTTGTCCCCGAGAGAGAGAGGGTTGACAACCAACGGGTACCCCAAAGCCAAATTCACAAGAATCCGAATTTTGAAAGGAAAGGACACTGAGAAATTTTACCTTCCTTTCTTGACCAAATACTCCAGAGAGCTGGGAGAGCTGACAGTGATAATTCCCAGTGTTTGCTGGCTCCTGCCAATTTTCCTAGGATCTCATTGGCAGGGGCCTGAGTGAGTAGAGTTTAAATAGTGAATATAGCTCCAATATCCACCAGAGGTTGGCCATTGATTTTTATTTTGGTTTCCCTTTGGCTCTTTAAGGAAATATCTGGTAGTAGTTTACCAGAGAATCCCTTAAAATCCCATCAACTCTGATAGGGGCCTGTATGGCAGCCCTTCCTTAAGGGTTGACATGGGGTGTTTGAGTTAGTGTACAAGGATTTGACTTAGGTTTACATTCTTGTCTCTTCAGGGTAGAAAGACAGTTCAGATAGAGGATTGATAGACTGAGTACTAAGGTAAAGGAGGTTAGAAGGGAATAGAAGGAGCCATGTCAATCTTACAGTCTTGTTTTAGGTCCCTTTTGTGTCTTCCATTTTTCATTAGCCTTTTCCAATGAATCTTTCAATGAAGCTGTTTTGAAATCTTGAAGCCTTTTATAGGCTTCTGCATTCCAAATAAAATGGGTGTCCATTCTATGTGTTTGATTTGGGAAACCTTGCTTTTAAGTGCACTTCTTTAATGATCAATCTTGTCTAATTGGAATAGTCTCCATAATGGCCATTGTAATTCTAGGTTGTCTTAGTAATATTTTGCTGTTTTTGTTGATATCTACAGCTTCTGGGGACCATGATTTTTAGACGTAAAATAAGAAGATATGCTGAAAGGTCCACACTCAGTTCTTTGAAACTTCTAGGATTCCACTTCTTTAGCTAAGCCTGGGGTCTCTTGGAACCAAATTAATACCTGAAAGTAATGTGCCACTAAGTTGGGGATTTTGTGGTGTTTTACAGTGTACTTGGTTGCATGAAAATTTTCTTGAGGTTGGCAGTGACCTAGTATTGATCTTCCTCATTTTGTGACCAACTTATCCTTCCTAGAATGACCATCTTAGACTTAGGTAGTAGGCCGTCAAACTACTTTTAAGTACTTGACTGGTGCCCACCAATTTTGTAACTTTGTCCTCTGAAATTCCCATTAGCAAGAGATGATTCCTTTCAGGAGATTTCTTTATAGTGATGGATGCCCTAATGGCATCCCCCAAATCTCCCAGCACTTTAGGCTATGGAGTTGCCTTGAAGCTTTGTGAGTTCCCTAATAGTTTCCACCTGTTGCATACTCTTTTCATTTTTTTGTGTTGATTTATTCATTTTGAAAGAGACAGAGGGGAGAGGGAGAGCGAATGCATGCAAGCAGGAGAGAGGCAGAGAGAGAATCCTAAGCAGGTCCTGTACTGTCATTGTGGACACTGGCATTGGGCCTGATACCACAAACCAGAAATCATGACAGCCTAAGTCAAGAGATGAACGCTTAACTGACTGGACACCCAGGTGCCCCAACTCTTTCCTATTATAACTACCCTGGGGTCTTTCCAAGACCCAGAACCTTTATGGGAACTTTTTTTTTTTAAACAAACTTTGCTTGGACCAGATTGCTGATTGCCCTTAGGCAGAGCTCAAACCTGAGTCACTCACCTATGCCCTCTGTACAAATGAGAGACTCAGTGAGTCCATAGGGCGCAATGGGCACTTGTGCACATTTCATCCTGCCTGGCTTCCAATCCCATTCCTCATGATGAAAAAGTTAAAAAAAAAAAAAAGGTGTTTTTATTTTTTTTAATGTTGATTTATGTTTGACAGAGAGACAGAGTATGAGAGGGGGAGGGGCAGAGAGAGAGGGAGACACAGAATCCGAAGCAGGCTCCGGGATCTGAGCCGTCCGCCCAGAGCCCGACGTGGGGCTTAAACCTACAGACCACGACATCATGACCTCAGCCAAAATCAGATGCTCAACCGACAGGCGCCCCCCCCCCCCCCAAAAAAGTTGTTTAAAGAAGACACTTTAGGTGAGACAGAAAAACTTGAATACTTCATGAAGTAGACAGTCTTCTAATGGAACACTGAAAAATTGGGTGGGAGGCAGCAAGCCTTTGTAGGATAAGGAATAAAGAACAAACAGAGAAAAAGGGAATGTTCCTGACTGGCTTAGGCCACACAGTCAACCTTGTTTGAGGAGAGAAAGCCCAGAGTTGTCTCGGTGTTTGTGGATTGGCTGACTGGATATACTGTGTTTCTGGTCATGAAAGCATTTGTAGGGACATGAGAGTTACCTAAGTTTCCATTTGCTGATGTGGCACCCTGGCAGTTGTGGCACCCTCTTGAGTCTAGAAGGTTCTGTCAACAAGGTAAATCTCATTATTCTGCCCATCCCTTCGCTACCATCCTCTTCCCAGAGGAGGAGCAGGATCTTCTTTTTCTCATCAGGAAGAGTGTCTGTCTTTTTTGTTAAGAATCTAATAAACATTAGAAAAAGTTAAAAGTCGGTGATTAAATGATGGGCCATATTAAATTCTCACAACTCCATATGTTTCTATCCTAGGGAAAACTAAGGTATTATATTTTTCCATGTTCATTTTTTATGTTTTTTAACAGCCAACCTCTAGCGGCTAATATTTTATGGAAGTTGGAAAGGAAGTCTGGCTCAGAGTAATGGTTTTTGTTCCTTCTGTGTCACTCAGAAACTCCCAGTGGGTCTTCAGTTCACTGAATTCAATTGATCATAATCCCTGGGGGCACCTGGGTGGCGCAGTCGGTTAAGCGTCCGACTTCAGCCAGGTCACGATCTCGCGGTCCGTGAGTTCGAGCCCCGCATCGGGCTCTGGGCTGACGGCTCAGAGCCTGGAGCCTGTTTCCGATTCTGTGTCTCCCTCTCTCTCTGCTCCTCCCCCGTTCATGCTCTGTCTCTCTCTGTCCCAAAAATAAATAAACGTTGAAAAAAAAAATAAAAAAAATAAAAAAAAGATCATAATCCCTGGATGAGGAAACACTCTAACTTTTGTTCCATGCATGGATTTTTAAAATTAAATTCAATTATTAATTTAATGATCATTTATGAAAACACTAGCAATTAGACCATTGCTAATAATTTATATGTGCTTATTGACTCCTCTACTACTTAATCCCATTTCTTTTGTTCACACAAAGTAAATGATGTCATTGATTTTTCATTGCTTTTAAAACAGTTTTATAGAATGTACATTTAGCAATATTTTTTTAGTTTTAGTGGATTTGAATTTTTTAAAAATTACCATAATTTAATTTTCCCTAGGTATTTATTTATGCTTATCAAGTACCTTTAAAGTGTATTTATTTATTCTGAGAGAGAGCAAGTGAGTGAGTGTGGGGGTGGGGCAGAGAGAGAGAGGGAGAGAGAGAATCCTAAGTATTCTCTCTGTTGTCAGTGCGGCACTTGACACGGGCTCAGTCTCAGAAACTATGAGATCATGACCTGAGCTGAAATGAAGAGTTGGACACTTAACCAACTGAGCCACCCAGGCACCCCTCAAGTAACTTTAACATTTCGTAGATTAAAACAAAATCTTTTTTTTTTATTTTTTTTAAATGTTTTATTTATTTTTGAGACAGGGAGAGACAGAGCATGAACAGGGGAGGGTCAGAGAGAGGGAGACACAGAATCTGAAACAGGCTCCAGGTTCTGAGCTGTCAGTACAGAGCCCGACGCAGGGCTCGAACTCACGGACCGCGAGATCATGACCTGAGCCGAAGTCAGCCACTTAACCGACTGAGCCACCCAGGCGCCCCGAAATATTTTATCTCCTGATTTCTGGTAGAAATCCAGGGTCAGGAATTTGAAACCAGCTCAGTTGGAAGGCTGGGGTCAAGGTCTCATGATTTAGAGTTGGATTTCAGCTGGATTGTAATCTTCTGAAGTCTTGATTTAGGATTGGATGATCCACTCCAGAGTGACTTAGTCACATGTTTAATAAGTTGGTGCTGGCTAACTGAGTCCTGTCCATGTAGGCCTCTAAATGGAGAGGCTAAAGTGCTCTCACAACATGGCAGATGATTTCTTATAGAGCAAGCTATCTAAGAGACCCAAGCAAAAGTTGTAATGTCTTTAATGTCCTCACCATGAAGTCATGTATCATAACTTCGCCCATAGTCTCTTGGTCATATAGGTGACTGATTCAGTATGTGAGGGGATTACTCAAAGGCAGGGAGTACCAGGAAGCAAGGATCATGGGGACCATCTGAGAAACTGGATATTATAATCTCTCTTGAATATTGTCATTTATTGGGGGGAAAAAAAACTAGACTCATCCTGTATGTTTCCTTTACTCTCACACTACTATATCTACACTACTGTGTGTGTTCTCCACACATCAAGCAGTTCTGCAACACCAGCTGAATGTCTCACAATTTAACTCAGTTCTCATACTGTCTACCTGGAGATGGTGTCACATGTCACACGTTAACGGCTCAGTCCCCACTCCCACCGTCCCCTCCAAACCCCTGCTTCAGCTGCCAATTCCAAGTCTAGGTTATCTGTGCTTATGACCAATTGACTGTAAATAAAAAATTCTACAACCTCACCCTCAAGTTTGATTAATTTGCTAGAATAGCTCACAGAAGTCAGGAAAATAAATTTACTGGCTTGCCAGATGATTATAAAATGTTATAACTCGGGAACAACTAGATGGCAGAGATGCATGGGTCAGAACATGTTGGGAGGAGTGTAGAGCATCCATTTCCTGTCTGAGTCTGCCACTCTCCTAACACTTCCATCTCTTCACCAACCTAGACTGTCTCAGAATCCCGTACTTGGGGGATGTTGATGGGGACCTCATCACGTGGGCATGATCAGTAATTAACTCAATCTCCAGGCTTTTTCCCACTTGGTGTAGAAAGGGGTGGAGTTGAAAGTTCCAAGCTTTAAACATGGCTTGGTGTCTGTGGTGGCCAGCCCCCATTCTGAAGCTCTCCAGAAGCCTAAGAAGAGCTGCCTCATTAGAATAAGGGGTAGTCCTGTCACTCAGCAAATTCCAAGAGATTTAGGAGCTCTGAGGTAAGAACCAGAGTCAAAGACCAAAAGATGCTCTTAGTGCTCTTATCATTTAGGAGATTGCAAATTTTAGGAGCTCTGTGCCAGGAACTGGGAGCACAGACGAGTACATATATATTCTGGTATTTCACATGGCATTTGAGTTGTATTAGTTTTGTTGTTGTTGACAGTATTGGTATGGACAATCTTCTACATGTTTCTGTATATATGTGTATAAAGATTTCTCTTGGATCTATGGCTAGAAATGTGATTACTGGATCATGGAGTGTTTGATTCTTTAACTTTATAAGATAATGTGTTTTCAAACATGGTTATACAACTTTATACTCCCAACTTTCTATAGAATACTGCAAATCCATATATCCTCTTTAGCACTTGGTATTGTTGGTGTATTTTTTTTTCCTTCCCGCCCGTCTAATTTGTGTAGATGACACCTCATAGTGGTCTTGATCTGCACTTCTCTGATTGCTAATGAGAAGATGAAACCGATCTTCCAATGTGTATTTGCCATGTTTCCTCTTTTTTGAAATACAGGTTAATGTCCTATACCCATTTTTTGATTTAGATTCTTGATTTAGTATTGATTGGCAGCTGTGTTCTATATATTCTTTTGTTTGCATATTCTTTTAGTCTTTTGTTATTTACACATATTGATGACAATTATAATTTCTTCTCCTGGTTTGTATTCCAGCTTTTCTGCTTATTTAAGGTATCTTTTGATGAACAGAAATTAGTGCAGTAATTTCCAAGCTTTTGAGGACCACACATTTCTTTGAACGTCCAAGGAAAATGGTGGCTTGTCCTTCCAGGAAAAAACAAAACAAAACAAAACTCATTCACAAATTTATGCATACCATTTTAAGGAGTTCCTGGACTCAGATTTATTCAGGCCCTGAACAAATAGCATCCTTCCTTGAGAAATCTTGCTTGAGAATCTAGACATCTTCTCAACTTCCACTCTATATTCCTGACTTTCATAAGAGGCCATACCATCTAATATGATTTATCAAGATTTATAAGTAATGTTCTTGTTCTTTTTTAAAATTTTTATTTTGAAATAATTTCAAACATGAGAAGTTACAAGTAAAAATTTCTTTAGGTCCTTTATCTCTCCCGCTCTCTCTCCTCTCTCTCTCTCTCTCTGTCATATACACATACACTTTTTTTTTCCCTGAACCACTTGAGAGTAATTTTCAGTTATCGTGCCTTCAAAATAACTCAGTATATATTTTCTGTGAATATGGATATGCATATCTTAAGTATCACTTTGCAATTATTAAAAGGCTAAGGAAGCATTTCAGAATATATGATTAAAGATACATAAAGACTAAATTCAGTACACTAATTTTGATTAGGTCTTCAGCTAGAAGGGAAATCATTAAAAATATTAAGGAAAAGAATTTTAATATTCTTAAATTAAGCTGTGGTAATTTGTTAAATTGTTTGCATTAATCATTTAAAATCAGAGTACTTTTTTTTCTCCCTGAACTGTGTAGAAAATGACACATTCTTTGTTATACCTGGTTATCTTATAAAAATTAAATCTACATCCTTGATATTATCAGCTTATCGTATCTCTAATTATAAGATTACTATATATTGCGGCTTCTAAAATAATTTAGGTCCTATTTCTTAGAATACTGTTTTAACTCACGTTTTAAGTAATGAAAGTTTTGGTGAAATGCTCTAGATTTTCTTTTAGGATGGATTAATTCTAGATAAACTTCCATATATTTCAAATGCTAAACCCTTAAGCATTTGCTTAAATAGTCACAGTGATACAATCTGATATAGTGTGTATTCACTACAGAGAGTCATCACACTTGGGACTCCTGGCTCCCTCCTCAGGGAGCTACTACATGTTGGACTGCATCTGGCTGTCTCCCAAAGCACTTGGGTACCATTTAGTAAGGTGAAAAATGGTATTTCACTCCTCTTTCTTTTCTCCAGGGTACACATCAGTGATTGTTATCAACTCTTCTGAGGTTAATCTCGTGGTTACTCTACAACTTGATAATTTATTTCTGTGTTTTGGCAAGATGAAGAGTTTACTAATTTTTACTTTCTAGATATTTTCTTTTAAAAAGAAAGTAAAAAGCATAAAATAGGCTTTAGTCTACCACATTAAAAATTCTGTACAATAAGAATTCCCAGTTCACTTTCTTTCTCCTCCACTGCCGCCATTTATCAACTTTTAAATGCTTCCATTTTTCTTCTACATGCATTCTTTAATGGTATCATTGTATACACATGGTAATGTTTCTATTTTTCCACGATGGATTTATTTAACTGGGGATAGCCCATATCAGAGAGAGTCCATGTTCCTCTTTCTCTCAGTGTCTTAGCCTATCTTTTTCACATGTGTAAATTATACTTGCCCTTATTTTCTTCTACATCACAATGAAGGTAATCTGTGCTCACCTGCGTTCTTTGATCTTTACATCTGCTAATTTTTACTTCCATTAGTACTTAGTAACAACTTTTTTTTTTTCAACGTTTTTATTTATTTATGGGACAGACAGAGACAGAGCATGAACGGGGGAGGGGCAGAGAGAGAGAGGGAGACACAGAATCGGAAACAGGCTCCAGGCTCTGAGCCATCAGCCCAGAGCCTGACGCGGGGCTCGAACTCACGGACCGCGAGATCGTGACCTGGCTGAAGTTGGACGCTTAACCGACTGCACCACCCAGGCGCCCCTGACAACTTCTGATTGTCTATTTGAAAATCTGTCTTCTTCCATGTCTTTCAAAAATGACTTAAAATTTTGTTCACCCTAAGTTTTGCATATAATTTAACCCACTCCACACATACTTCTCTACTTCATGCATCTCTAGGTACTCAGGTTTTCTGTCTGCTTCATTATATGGTTAAGTTGGTTGGTAACGCTTTAGATTGATTGTACCCGATATGAAAGCAGAGCCAGGATCTATTGTAAACCTTCCCTCATGATCTTTATTCTTCCTTCTGCTACACACACACACACACACACACACACACACACACACACACACTCACGTACGCATTCAGACCTACTACCTAGCCGACGGTCATACACAGAGTAGGGACATAGAAAAATAATTGGATAAGTAAATAACTCTGTGTGATAAGTAGTAGGAAATTTTTTCTATTAATAAAAATGTGGGGACCATAAATCTCCAATTGCTTGGCATTACTACTTAGAAGCAAAAGCTGAAATACTGAATGATTTTTTTTTTTTCTGGATTCTACAGTCTCAACTCTTGATACTCAAAAATGTGGCCTGGGAACAGCTCAAGGCACCACCAGGGAGCTTGTTAGAGAGTTCAAACCTCAGTCAACTCAGTCAGAATCTGCATTTTAACAAGATCTCCAGGTGATTCATATACAGAGTCATGTTTCAGGAGCACTGTACCCTACTAAAGTTGTAACAAGCTGAGGTTCATTACCATTTTTGCACATCTGTGTGGGCATTTGTGTTCACAATTTAATATATTACAATTGTCAATGTTTACATATTTGAATATTTTCCCTATAAGCATATTTTTTTCTTCATGTGGTGTTTGAGTCAAAGTCACTACAATGATAATTTTCTTAGACTATGAGAGTAAAACCTTCAAAAGCCCTTAGTGTAACCAGTACCTACATGTAAGGTAATTAAATGAGTGCTTAACAGATAATCAGTTGATTAGAGAACTAATTAATGAAGAAAACAGTGAGGATAATACAAGATTAGGGAACCTTTTGAAAGGATACTAATATTGTTCTGTTGGTTGACATAGATTGCCTTTGTGCTAACGAGGATCATTGACTCAATGACATTTCAAGCTAGTGATTTTTTACTTTGTGCAAAGGCATACCCAGAGTGACCCAAGCAAATGGAGTCTCTGAGGACTTCCAAGACAAAGGGAAATAATCATATAATATTCATTTTAATATAGGTACCTTTTTAAAGTTGTATTCAACATCCATATGGATTGATTCAGTTAATTAAATACTTACTGAGTTCCTAGGATGTGTCAGACAGTTTTGTAGGGGTACCCATAAAGACAGTAAAATGTGGTTTCTTTGCCATTGATTTGTCATCAAGTGGGCCAGGGAGGCATAGACACTCTTAAGGAAGTATAAGCTAACTTGTAGATGGCAGTAGCACTTTGTGGGGTATCTTATGGTTCTCCAGAGGGGAGGAACAAAACAGTAAGATGTGTGTGTATTTCTGTATATAAATATATTTATTTTAAGAAGTTGGCTCATGTAATTACTCAGGCTGGGGAATCAAAAATCTGTAGATTGGCTTGACAGGCTGGAAGCCCAGAGAAAAGCCAGTGCTGGAGCTCAAGTTTGCTGGCTGTCAGGCTGTAGCTTTCACTGTTGCTCAGGGGAGGTCAATATTTTGTTCTGTTCAGGCCTTCAGCTGATTAACCCACATTATGGAAGGCAACCTGTTTACATATTGTTCACGGATTTATGTTAATCTTATCCAAAAATACCCTCATAGACACAGCCAGAATGTTTGAACACATATCTAGGCACCATGGTCCAGCCAAGTTGACGCAAAATATTAAGCATCACATGGGGGTAGAGATGAAGGTGTTGTGTCTTTGGACAAGATTACAGATAGCTTTGTGAAGGTTGTAGTGTTCCAGGTGACCTTTTGACAATGACAGGGTTAGCAAGAAGGACAGAGTAATTTTATGTTGAGAGATAGCACCTGATTAACAAAAGTACAGAGTCAAGGAATTATTTGTTGGATGATAGGTTATGAGCTGACCAGAGCAGGAAGTTTGGAAAGAAATGCATTAGCAAATAGACCTAAAGCCACCTTTGCAGCCTAATTACAAGGGTCTGTGAAAGTAATGCTAAAGAAAGTGAACTACAGTGAGGGTTTTGGAAGGGGAATGATCCTGCCTGACTCAGAATGTCTGTCTGCCTTAGCGGTAGAGGTTGAAGTGCATGATAAAAGGGAGGCAGACAGACAAGTTAGGACACAATGTCTATATTTGAAGTAAATCGAAGTGCAGATCTGAACAAGAACAATAGCAAAGGAGGGATGGAAGGGACAAAAGATATGTGAAGGAGATAGCAGTAGACGGATCTTGGACTTTGATGGAATGTGGAACTATTTTGTTGAAGTATAAAAATTTTAGGCCAGGATCCTATATCCCTGACTGAAAACAAAAAATGATTGTCAATCATTTCTTCCTTTCAATGTGTGCAACATATATTGAAGTTAAAACTAAATAAAAACAAATACCAAAAGACTATTTCAGTTGAGTAAAAATGTTTATCTGCCTTTTTATGTTAACCTATAAAATATAATTCTTTCTGCAGACTAATTGGTGGAAATATTCTTACCACTGCTGCGAAGATTATAGGCTCACTAGGGCCATGCAGTTTTACCCTTGGCTCCAATCAGGCAGTCAACTAAGACAGCATGAAATCAGCCTTCAGTTGCCTGTTGTAATGCATATTGTCAGTTATTTAAAATTAAGGTTAAAACTCACCTTCCTCCATTCCCTTCCTGCCTTTTTCCTATATTTAGAGAAATTGAGGCAATCGAGGGTGTTTCTTGTTTAAGGGAATCTGCTGATGGAGGCTTACCCCCATGCACCATGTCAATCAGACAGCTTTGTGTAGTGCGTGTAGCTGTTTCCCCTTTGCTCAGGGGCTGAAGGGATGGATTGTAGTGTTGGCAATATAAAGGAAGATTAGAAGTAATTTGATTTTTATCATTTTGTCTACTCTGAGAAGTGCTTGTGTTTGTAGTGGAAGGGCATGGTCCTTTCTAAGAATAATGTGCACTCTGTCCCTTGAGTGAAAGGAAGGAGGCAGCCAGAGAGTTTGAAATGTTGATCATATGGCTTAGCTTCTCCCATCGGGATATATGGTAGTATCATTAATCTTGATAGGAAACCCAGGAGCAGGAACAAAGGGATTTTATGGTTTTCCTTCATTTGTTTTTGTTCTCATACTGGGCATAGAGGGCAAATATGAGTCAGTATTAAATTTGAAAACTTGCAAGAGAAAATGTGCAAGTTAGGGTCCAGAAAAAAAATTAGGGCATGTTGATAAGTCCATCATGTTCTTTGAAATATTAGGAGTCACGTGTGTTATTATATTAATTTTAGTAAGAATGGGTGAAAACACACAAATATTTACATTTCATAAAACTTTTAGAAAATGTATAGTTAATCATATGAAATCAAACTGATATATCCAAGATATTAAAATATTCCCATTATGTGAATAATAATATGTTGATTAAGTTGAAACCACAATCATGAAAATTTCCCTAGGAAAAATAATGTTAATAAAAGGAAGGTGCTTGTTGTGATGAGCACTGGGCTATGTAAGTGATGAATCACTAAATTCCACTCCTGAAACTAATATTACACTATATGTTAACTAACTAAAATGTAAATAAAAAAGTGATACAAAATTAGTGTTCTAATACAAATTATTCATCATTAATGTATTTTTGCTTTAAAATAGTGAGAGTCTGCATCTGTCTTAAATACTGGAATATGAAGCTTATGTTTTTCAGGCGACTGTCACTCTGAAAAGATGTCACTGCTTTGTATTTAGACAACATAATGAAAATTTGAATAATATACTATTATATTTTACAGCATATCATTTTAATCATATATACCAGTAACTAGACAATAGTCTATTATATTCTATAGAAGGAAATAAAAATTAGATTTAACTCAGATACTAGATTGAGTTAAACACATTCAATGTGACGTGAAAATTGAAACACAGAAATGGCGATTCTAGAAACTGAGTTGTTTTCCTTGGGTACTTAAATCTGTTCCCCTTCTGAAAACCCTTATGATTTCAATTTGCCATCAGAATAAAGCTCAAAGTCCTTATTATGCCATGTCATACGTTCCATGATGGGATACTAACTTTATCTTGATCTCTTTATCTCGATCCAATGATGGGATACTAACCTTATCTTGATCTCTTCCCCCTACTCTGCCTTTTGTTTCTGTTTTTGTCTGAAAAAGCCATGCTACTGAATGCATTTGTGTGTTCCTGTGAAAGCTGCTCCTCTTCTTGGAAAACTCACCTGTCAGTGTGACAGATCCTCTTTATCTGCAATACTTCATTCAATTATCAACTCATTTATTAAAAAAAAACATCTTTTTGCTGTGTTCCCTGATTTCCTGGGTACATCACTCACATGCTCACTTCCTTCTGCATTTAATAGGCACCTTTGCATTTTATTGATACCATTAGTTTATGAGTCTGTCTCAATCACAGAACAACACACTTTTTGGTGACTGATACCACGTCGTATTCTTCATTTTAACAATACATCCTGGCATAGAATACAGGTTCAATGGAAGTTTCCCGAAGAGTAAATAAATAATGACCTCTGTGCTTTAGACGGACATCTCTGCTCATGCAAATAAATTGTGAAAGCATAAAAATACCATCTACATATTGAAAATAACTTTATAATATTCAACTTTTACTATGTAAATTATACGTGTGTTTACCTCTTTTACTCCCCCTTCCCAACACACACACAAATAGGCTAACCTCTGTGAGAAGTAAGAGAAAATAGTTAAATTAAAAAAAAAAATTCAACACAAAAAGTACTTATTGAACACCTATTGTGTATTACTTTCTATAGTAGATAAACTGATGATAGAAGTTTGCATACTATAATTTTTCAAAAGGTTCTCAATTCCCAGTACAAATTTGCTAGAACTCTTAAACAAATTTAGGTTGGCATCATGTTTTAAGCATACTTCAAAACAACTTTGTGTTATATGGACAATTATTACTCTCATTTTATTTTTAACAAATGAAAAACAGAGGCACAGAGAGCTTAAAAATGCTTTTGAAGCTCATACTACAGTATTGGAACTGGAAGTCCAACCTAGTAAGTCTGGCTCCACAGTCTATGTTCTTAACCACTATATGTTTGCAGTAGTTGATGATTTTAAGGAGTTCATGGTTTGTAAGAAGTGGTGGATTTAGAGGTGAGTAATACAAACAATGGCATAATATAAAAAAAGTACTCTGAAAGAGAACAAAGGAGTGCTTGGCCATGAAATTGTTTAGATCAGAGATCAAACTACAGTCCACCGGCCAAATATGGCCTACAGTCTGTTTTTGTATTGCCTACTGTCTCAGAATGTGTTTTTACATTTTCCAAATGATTATTAGGAAAACAAAAATATTTTCTTGACATACAGAATTTTGTGAAATTTAAACTTTGGTGTCCACACATAATGTTTTATTGGAACATAGACATACTAATTAGCTTATTTGTTTCTGAAAGCTGCCTCCCTGGTACAACAGATTTGAATAGTTGTTGGAGATCGCATGGCCTATAAGGCGTAAAATATTTACTATCTGGCCCTTTATAGAAAAGTTGTATGAATCCTAGTCCAGAGAGAGCTTTTTCCACCAACTGCAGTTTGGGAGGAAGAGCATGCATGGATATAAAGCCATGGATATGTGAAGGATCTTGGTGTGTTTAAGAAGACACAGATAGTTGAGTATGGCTAATGTCTATCTGCCAATTGAGTTGCAGTTTATGGAAAGTTCCATTTTTTTTTCAGCAGGAAGTAGAAACTATTGAACTGTTTTAATGGACCATTCCTCCTTTTTCTAAGCACTGATAAATAAATGTTGATTTTGCTTCAAACTTAATAACCCATGTTGGTTTCGTACCTTTTAAAAATGAGTTCTTTCTTCCTATCTTCCTGTCCAATAGGCCATGCTGCTTCTTACCATTATTGACAAGGTTTCCCGCATGAGGAATTGTTTATCTGCAACCCATTTTTCATAGGATAAGCCTCTTGTGAGTTCCTTAGATGAGGTGTATCTTACAAAGAAATGTTCATTATTATTTTCATTGTTTTTTTATTCTCATCATTGTCATTTTCATTACTGTTGTCATTCATCTTTCTCCATCTGTTTTCCCCTTGCTCCCTATGGTTTTTCTGCTACACTTCATTTCTTATTAGGAATTTGTTTTATTTGGTAGATGTATCTTCATTATTTTCTTACTACCTTCTTTCCACCTACCAGGTGACTGGTGTGTGTGTGTATACATGTGCATGTACATGTATGTAACAGAGAGGGTCCAACCATGTTAAAAAATTTAACTGGTATCCACTTCTGTGCATAAAATAATGGTCAGGACTTAAGATCCATCATCCTGCCAATGAAGTTTCTAGATATTAATCTGATTTATGAGGAGTATTTGGGTTTCGTTTTATCTGTTAAATGAATTCTGTCAGTGATCAACTCACTGACACCATGAACAATGGCCAGGACGGGACCACTGGAATCTCATTTGAAGTGAGAGTTCTGTGAATGATCAGCACAGTTCTCTTCCCTTCCCCCTCCTCCTCCCACCAAGTGATCTGTGATGCCACATTACAGAAACAGTAAATCATACTCAGGAATTTCTTGATGTTAGGAGGATGAGTGTTTGGTGGGAAATGGTGACCATTAGCAGCTTGGTTTTGGATCCCGATGGGGAAGGGATGCTGGGTAATAAGGGGTCACAGCCAAGAAACGACACAATGTTAACTCTAAATTATGATTACCATTCTTGCACAAAAGTTCCTTAAATAATAAAAATACAATTTTAGATTTGGAGAAATCTTCTTAAACAGATAAGATATTATTTCTTTTCTATTTCCCATAATGCTTAAGTCATTCCTGGTGTTCTGGTAAGCAACTGAAACGGAAGAACTGTTTCAGTTCATTATCACTATAGGGCATTACACGGAAACTCAATCCATAAAAAAAAAGAAAAGAAAAAAACAAAAAAACCCCACTGCATTTCATAAAGTCTCTAAATAAATTATTTTGGCTGGTGCGGTCACTGGAAGAACACAGCCTCTTATTCATTCAGTGTTTTCCTTTACAGAACATTAAATCACATGTCAAAAGGTTTTATAAAATTAGAAATGTCACACACATGGTACAAATCCTTAAAATGCACAGCTAGACATAGTTAAAAATCATATATATGCTCTCTGTTATTTTTTGTCATACAGATTTTAGTGCTTAATAAAGTATACTGTCTACTGGACTAAAATCTTACTTTCTAGAATCATGTAAAAATGAGACCAAAAGTCTACTCTGCATGTAGTACCTAGAATTGGGATTCCACTATTTGGACTCTGTCACTATGTTGCTTACCTTTTTCCCGTTCACTGATTTCATTTATCAAAAGCAACCAGGGGTCTCTGTCATATATAGCATTGTTCTGATAGTGACGGCAAGTCTCAATATGAATTCAGTAGAGTCTCTGTTCTTGAAGACTTCTTAGTGATTATTAGCGTGATTTGTACAGCGTTCAGGACTGCAGAGGTGTCTGTAACATAAGCAGAGACCACTTGCTGACGTCCGTTTTCCTGTACTGTGACTGTAGTTCCATCATCCCACTGGACACAGTTAAAGTCTCACCCAGATTCGAGGGCAGGAGAGAGGTTTCAACATATTGACAAGAGTAGCTTCAAAGCATTATGAAAGAAGATTAAAGGAAGTGTTTAGAAATAAAACACCATATGATAGAATTTATACAGTTCTGAACTTTTAAGCACAGGAGAGCTTCCAATTTAGCCTCTGCAAAAACTTAAATTTTCAAAATCTTCTATTGTTCTTCTCTACAAAACTTTTTATATTAAATCTGAGATGAATGAAATTCTGCTAACAATGGATTAATTATTATTTCCCTGATTAAACAACTGTTTATTGAGTTTGTATAAGCCAGGGATTTTGTTATATGTAGGACTAATATTTTGAAGATACAGTCCCAACCTCAAGTTTGTCATTCAGAAGACCTGAAACATGAATAAATAAATGTATTCTTTTGAATTGCAGTATTTCTCGAGAATTGCATATAACCCTTTTAAACTATACCACAAGTAAGTCGCATAATAATTTTTATTTTTCCTTATATAACGGGACTTCGTTAAAAATAAGAGTATTATACACAAGAGTTGACTGATAATTAATTGGCAAATACGATAGTGATGATGATGTACCTGATAACCTGCCTCCACCAGGATTAAGTGGCTCCTTTAAATATTGGTCCTTTATTTTTAATTTGATTTTACTTTTTGCAGGCAAAATTTTGGGCAGAATTTTAACCATTTTTGAGCAAAGGAATTTGGTGACTGATCTTTACCATGGCTTTCTTCTCATACTTTCTCTTGTCATTGATGTTCGCTGTTGTTATGCCATAAAAGGTACTTGTTTACTGAGGCTTTTAGATAATTATAATTTTATGTGTCCTGCTTAATAGTTTTATCTGTAACTGGGACTTTATTGTTGCACAACATTTTTCCCTGTAGGATATATGGAGGGGTAGTATATTCATCCTGTCTACTTATCTGCCTTACCATTCTGTGGGAATCATTGCCAGAAGATGGTATGCACTTGTCTATGAACAGATAAAAGGAGGAATTTATTTAGTTTCATAGCAATAAAATTAAGTTATATTTCAGGCCTCCAGTTATGAGTTTGTATAGGCCTCATCTTTATAGCATATGAGAAAATGTTTCATATATATAACAGAGACTTACTCTTCCAAAATATTTTAAAATGTAATCACTTTGATGCAAAAAATATTATATATATTTTATATTTCTATCATAAAAAGAAAGTTATTACATATATTTCAAACTTTTTTTATGACTCTGTGAGGTATAGAGAAATCAACTCTGGGTTTCTGATATAAATTAGGGGTGTCATTTACTGGGGTTTTAGGGAAAGCTGAATCATCAGAACTTGTCAGAAAATGTGAGATCCAGGGCATCATACCAGAGGTGAACTCTTGGTACTTGGTATTTATCTCGCACTTTGCTAGGCATTTTACATATTGTTTTCATTTCCATGTATTTTGAAAATAATTTAAGTCTCTAAAAGAGTTAAAAGAATAGTACAAAGGCCACCTGTTGCCCGTTGCTGACATTTTGCCACATTTTCAATTTTTGAGCTATTTGAAAATAAAACTGCATACATCATGATTCTTTATCCCTAGATATTTTAATATATATTTCTTTAAAACAAGGTTAGTCTCCTGTATACCAGCAACATGATTATCATCAGCCAGTATGTATTATTGTTTCAATATTTTCTAGTTTTTAGTTCATCTTTACATTTTTTATGATTGTTCGCAATTTTTCTTGATTTGCTCCAGGAGCTGATCAAGGGACAAGCATATGCCATTTGTTACGTGTCTCCAGTCTCCTTCAGTCTAGAGCACTGACCCCCCAGTTGCATCATCTTTGTCTTTCTTAAGACATTTTTGTTGAGGTCAAGTCAGTTGCTTTGTAAAATATCTCCTATTTGGATGAAGCTAGATTCATTTTGGATTCATTTTGGCAAGAATACTGCTTTGCTTCTGGTTGACACTTTTGTATCACATCAGGAGGCATTATGTCTGTTTATTCCATTATTTTTAGGAGACTGTATGTTTGGTTAACATGTTAACCATTAGTTTTCTTTGTTTTAAGAATATGCATTTCCATCTTTAATGAAGTAATTTCTTGGGTGATTTTTTGAGGCTGTGTAGTAATCTTGTTTTCCAATAAACTGTTGGTATTGCTTTTTTTTTTTTTTTTGAGTTCCTGTTATTACATCTTTGTTCAGTATGTGACGTTTCTTTGAAGAAGTGCTCTTTTCCCTTCCAGATCTCAAGTTTGACTAGGAGTTGCCCTTCACTGTGGCTCCAATGTGCTTTTTGATATATTCCCATTAGTGTTTAGCATTTATTCACTTTCTGACAAAACTGTTGTTCTTCTACTTTCCCTCTACAGACCTGGAATTAACCATTTTCCAAGGCATCCTGATAGGAAGTAGTGTTTAGAAAGTAGCATCTGGGCACTAGATACACTCATTGCTACTTGGGGGTCATTTCTTCATGGCTCTTTAGTGAATGACTCTAGGATGCATATGTTCAAAGGGGAAAAATAACTTGAAAGAACTCTTGAGCTGGATGTAAATGATTGTTCATCATGCTGATTACTGCAACTCAAAATCACCATCTCAGGGTTCTTCTTCATCTTTCCCATGGTGTGTGTGTGTGTCCCATAGTGAAACCCAGAGTTCCCATTTATCTGTATGCTTCCCCACTTATAATTCATAAAATAGTTGCAGTATAAAGACTTCTTTGCAGAGGCTGTATAGAACTAAGTTTATATAAACTAACAGGTAATTGTTTCCTTTTTGTGGTTTTAATTCTTAACCATTGCGGGTACATATTGAGTCACCACTGGGTTTTCTTTATACCTGCTGTGTGGTATTAGTACACCTATAGGTGTACTCACCAATGTTTTGTGTGTGTGTGTGTGTGTGTGTGTGTGTGTGTGTGTGTGTGTTTAATATATTTGGTGAACAAATATGAACTGGAGTTGGAATTTTTCTTAAGGATCTTTGGCCTGCAACACAGTGTTTCCTCTACAGATATCTAAAGAGCTAAGAACATCAAATGCTTAACTATCTGGATGAAACAAAGAGTTTCTGAGATAAAAGAAGTTCAGGCTGTAGAGCTGAAGTTTATGAAGAAGAAAGAGACAATAGATTAAATTATGCTTGTAACTGGACAGATGTGAGAAATCTGGGGGCTCCGTGGCTGGTTTTGGTAATCCTGGAAATGGTCTTTGTTGACACTTTTAGATCGCAAAGACAGCAGCTGTATTTTCATTCAAAGTTTGGCTGCAGTGAACAGTATTACACATGCAGTACAGCATCAGATGCTTCTAGAAGGCTGATATCCAAGGTTTTCGTAAGAACTTGACAGGCAGAGCAATCTCAGAGACTACTTTAACCATTATCTGACTATAGAGGGAAACCAAACCTGCAAATCACATTTTGAAGAACTTAGGGAATATCAGCAACTAACTTAAATAACTTTTTAAACTAATGACTGTGATAATTATTTTTAAATTATGATCTTATTTAATATATACTAAACTAAGTTAGATGTTATTAGTCCTACTTTACACATGAGGATAATCAGAGAGGTTCTGCAAATTTTGTAAGGTCGAGCAGCTAATAATGGCAAAGATGAAATTTAAATTTAAAATTATCTACCTCCAAACCCCATAACTTTAATTCATAGAGTTTGTTATTCATAAAAGATCAAAGTAAACTGAATAACCATTTATCCAGTGAATAAGCATAATGAATTTTAGAAGACAGAACACAGAATTCAGTAAATTGTAGGGTAAGATATCCCTGCACATTTTTTTTTATGTTTTTGATTTGCCTTTGAATTTATTGATAATTAGTTAATGGAGCCTGATTTTAGTTGTATTAGATGAAGATAGATCTCAGAGATTTTGTGTAACATACCTTTTACAAACCATTCCGCACTTACAGTGTACCAGGCACTGTGCTAATTACTTTGCATAAATTCAGTCGTTTACCTCACAGCAGACCTCTAAGTTGGGAATAATCATTTTCGTTTTACATGTGAGGAAACTGAGGCTCAGTGAAGTTAAATGACTTGGTAAGCAAATTGCTATCAAGTAGCAATACAGTCATCTGATCCTATACTCTTTACATCTCAGAGATTTTGTTATTGTCTGGTTAATGTTATTTGTATATTCTTCTATTCTTTTTAAAATGTGAAAGTGCATTTTATAATTAGGTAGTTAGTCCAAAGTACTTATTGATGAAATGTACTCTTAGGTGTAATCCGAATCAGAATATTATTGTATCATTAAGTTTGAAAAATAAAAGAGGCAAAATATTTATTTTGTTTCGGGACAGTTGTTTAAATCAGAGATCAGTTTGTGATATATTACTATACCGACTTACAGCACTGTATCGACAAATATTCTAAATGTTTCTACTTTGTTCCTAGCACTGCTCTAGCTGGGCATAGAGGAAGGAGGAGAGGAGATAAAACACCTTCCCTCATGGAGCGTACTCTCTAGTGTGTTGAATAACACTTACTTACAAACAAGATACTTGGAGATTCAATAGATAGGATTTAGACCTTAGATGGGTAGGGAGTGGAGCTTTTTAGGTTTTGTGGTATTGATCCAAAGGAAAAAAAAAATACACAGAAAACTCTGAAGAAGACTGTATTTTAAATTATTTACCCTAATTAGGAAAAATACTATTTTTGTAAAGATCTAACCCCCGTTCAAATACATTGACAAGCTCTGACAATGTTTCCTGTGACTATATTTGAGGTACCATGATGAGTACATGCCAAAAATTGTGAAAAGTCTGAGATTTTTACCTTCTCGCAAGCTAAAGTGTTAGCCTGCCCTAGTTTCATACATGTTGGCAGAAGATCAAGCCTCCTGGGTCAGAGGCAAGGTGCTTTATTACTCATACAGCAAGAAGTATGACCTTCATGTAACCGTCATGTTCACATCTGTTCCTTGAGTGTCCCAAGTCCACAGGAGAAATAGGGGAGGGGGTCCTGGAGGGCTCTGCATACACCATGGATTTGCATCACAGTTGAGGAGTCACAAGCTTGGGATCTTTTATAGGAGATTGCAGTCTTTTATGAAAGATTTCCCGCAGAGAGAAATTATTATTATACTAGACAGCAAAAAATTCTGCCTGGAGGGTGACACTATCTCTGTCTTCCAAGGCTGTTAGCTATACCTATGTCCTTGAGTACTTAATACTGAACAGAGGACATCAGTGTATTTGTTCTCAAAATGAGCAGAAATGTGAGACATCCATAGAGAATTAATTTCAGTATCCTTCACTCTATACTACCGTTTTCCATGGCTTGATAATGAACTATCACTAAAAACTGGTTACTTGTGTATATTGCATATAGGGAAGAATGACATATTTGGATCATATCTATGATGGGATGGGTCATAAAATATCTAACTTACATATGAGGAAAATGAGGTTCATGGAGAATATATTTATGACTCAGTATTCCATAGTTAATCAATTTCAGTGTCAGGATTTAATACCAGATGTTTTCAGTAATCAAAAGAATCCAGCGTTCGGTATGTAAATATATCTATGCAATTTCTAGCATAAATAGATAGAACTCCTCCATGCTGAAAACGACTTTCAGAATTTCATGTTAGTATGACATCCACATCAATTTGGCATTCACCCATATTATCAGCTTTCACCTGAGAAACACTTTCCATTATGTAGTTCAGTCTACTGAAAAATGTGCTGGCACGAACCTCCTCTCACAGGTTAGAGAAGTTGGTGCAGTTCTGGCTCAATGCAGCTGGAAAGGTGGTTTCTTCAGGGCAACCTGCTGATGGATATTCTAGCCCTAGAATACACATTTAGATGTGTCTAGATTAGAAACATGTACAATGCATTCATGAATTACAGTTTATAGGAAGATCAAAGCAGGACATAATAGCATTCTATGGGGTTTTAAAAGAGCTGTTTTTTTTTTTTTTTCTTCTCCAAGATAATAAAGTTTGTTTCTAGAGTTTAGTAAATAGTTAGGTGTCTTTAGTCAGCAGGTCAGCATTATTTTCAATAACCCTATGATGTATCGGCTGGGGGCATTTTAATATAGAAGTCCCTTACATACATACTTTACAAAAATTTGCTTGATTTTTGTGTATGTGATGAATTCTTAAATCCCTCTTTTCTAGCTGACCAAAATTCATATAATTATATATTTGAATTAATGAAGACCATGAAAGCACTGTGACAGAATAATTATCTTTAATTATACTAATTACATAAATGGGTAAAAATTGATGATTAGGGCATTACTTTGTGAAAATAATAGCTTCATATTAATGATTGGATCTTCTTGTGACTTATCTTAACAATCCTCCCTACCTTTCTGACCTACATTTGACATACAAAAGTTTAAGAAAAATTTTGAACTCAGATTCATTCCTTCATATATACCCTGAATTTCTATGCTTTTTGAATTAACTAAGATGATTTGTGTTGCCAGATTTAGCAAATAAAAATACACTGCCTTCAGTTAAATTTGAGTTCCAAATGCACAGCGAATATGGCCTTTTTAGAGTAAATCCAAATATTGCAACATTGGAGATGAATTCCGTAAGGCAGTACGCTCACTAACTGTTAGTTGCATGTCTTTTTAAGAGGATATATACTCAGCCTTTTATCCAGTATTCCCACAAAACATAGGAAAAATTGCAAGGATTTTATTGAAATGTGAATTAGTCCCAGAAGTAAATTTTTAATGTTTCAGTTTAAGCTGTAAAAGTTGTCACCTGCACTTTACAAAGGTCACATGATAGTTACGTGCCATTCTTTGGTTGTAAAATACAGACATAATTTTTTTTTGTGAAGTGATGTTTATATTCTAGCATATTTCTCATTAAGGCAGGCAAATGAATTTAAGGATACGTGTTTTCCCCAAGCTAGTTTTTAGAAAAGGACAGATAGGGGCGCCTGGGTGGCGCAGTCGGTTAAGCGTCCGACTTCAGCCAGGTCACGATCTCGCGGTCCGTGAGTTCGAGCCCCGCGTCGGGCTCTGGGCTGATGGCTCAGAGCCTGGAGCCTGTTTCCGATTCTGTGTCTCCCTCTCTCTCTGCCCCTCCCCCGTTCATGCTCTGTCTCTCTCTGTCCCAAAAATAAATAAACGTTGAAAAAAAATTTAAAAATAAATAAATAAATAAAAAAGGACAGATAGTTTCGTGATTTTTATTAACAACAATTTAAATTCCCACAAGTCTTCATCAGACCCCAGTTCTTTTCTATCATATTGTTAACTGACAATGTCCATGTATTACTTATCAAATAATTGTCTGTAATGTTTTCCTCCTGTATTTACTTGGATTCACGAATATGCGGGGATTGCCTTATTCCTCTTGTGCTTTGGTTATTTGGTGAAAGTCAAAAGGCAACGAGTAGGTCATTATTTTGGGATCTAAAAATAATTCATTTGCATAATGGGGTTTGAAATCCTGAAACACAAAACTCTGCAATGCTCCCCATTGAGAGCAGTTGTGCTTGTGATAGAGAGAAGTTAACTTAGATGCTCTATGCAATCAGAATATAAGACAATGTTGCTAACTTTATAACACCACTCCAGGACTAATGATTTTCTTAGAAAAATGTTTATAATTTCAAGTTCTTAAATAAACAGAAGGTTTGTCTCAGAGTCAAGTCTTAAAGAATGCTTTGCTCTTTTGATCTGGGGACCTGGGCCACTTTGTGGAGGGCTAACCTTTCCTAAAATAGCCCTGAAGCAGTTGTGTTAAGGCCCCTTTGCAGATGCTCCCTAATGTGAGTTTAAATACTGTGGTGTCCTTTATCAAGGAGAACCCACACGCTTCCAAAGCTGTCACAGCTGGCTAACTCTGGTCCGATTCATAAGGGATTAATTGGCCATGGGTGCTCGTGAGCTGAAATACTGTCATAGCGGCTGTAGATCTGTCACTTTGATACACAAGGTAATCAAGTCCAGTAATAGACTCTCCATGAATGTTAATAGCTTACCTTAGCAAGAAATCATTAGAAGCTGTTTACTTGATGTCACATGGAAGAACATAGTCTGGACTTTTAGTTCAAGATCACTTGATATTTTGTGGGATAAACTTCTTTTCCAAAACTGTACTAAATACCAAATACATTGTGGTTGTTTTGAGACTAACTACAGAGGAAATGAAACTTTGAGAACCTGAGCTTGAGAAAACAACCTCATCTGAAAAATAAAAATAAAATACATTTTTTTTCTAAATTTCTTTTTAACGATTTTCTGGTAATGGTTCAAACAATCAGAAAATCGAGTGAAAAGTAAAAGTTTACTTTTCCCTTGTTTCCTTCTCCCCCGCCCCATTTAGGGATAACTTGGTTTCTCTGGTATGAAATCTTTCCAGATCATTTACCATTCATTTAAAAATAGAGTTTTATGTATTTTTATTTGAATGGGATTATAGTTTACTTTTCTTCAAAAGCATTTTGGTTGTATGTATAAATAAATTGCATTGTAATAGTTGAACAATATTCTGTAAATTAAAGGTGAGCTTTAATTTGTTTAAATATTAATTGCTTTTCAGTTACAGAAATTTTCTAAGAAAATAAAGAAATGAGAAATAAATTATTTATTTTCAAGGTTATTGTATTTGAAATATATTTTGACTCTGCACCTATCACATATTTGAATGTGTAACCCAGAGCCTAACACTTGCAGCCTTGCACAATATTTAAGGCACTGAATTTTTAATATGAAATTTCATACTGTGGTGTCCTAGATTTTTCAGGAATGATTAAACTTCTCGTTGGATACCACTTGAGAATATTGGTCTGTGGCTCTGTCCTTAGGGGTAATTGTCTATGTTAGGAAATTATTGGAGGAGAGGGGAAAATGATGAAATTATAGATTGATCAGACAAAAAGGTGACTTTGTTGAAATAAGAATTTTAGCATTAACAGTTGAATTGAGGAGAATCTGCAATCCCAAAGTACAGGGAGAAGTTTGAAGACTGGTAAAGATTTCCTGACATTAAGCACTCTGGGTATTGATGTTAAGCACCATCCAGGAAGAATTCATTATAAGACTCTGACATGTATCCTACACACAAATTTTTTAAGCCAGATGAATTGACTATGTTTCTGGACAGGTAGCATATTTGAATATGTGCACAGGGAGAGAAATACTTTATCATTGTAATTTATCGGTTATGTAAGAAAAAATGTAGCTACAATACACCATCATACAGGAAGATATTGTAAAAGTTATTAGATTTAAGTTTTTTAACAATCTTCAAATGGAGCATATAATTAGCTCTTGAAATTCTGTTATCATTGTATTTAGACTCTAATTAGTGGCCAATCTTTGTAGTTTCTTCTTACCCCCATGTAGAAAATCATCTCGGTATTCAATATGTTTAAAATCAATTCAATTCACAGTACCCGTATTATAATAGAATGAAGAAATTAAAACAGTATGTAAAAATATGGTGTGAAAACACCAAAAAGGGCATTGGAAATGGGCGTAATATATTATATATATAGATTATATATGTATATCTGTCCTAGAGTTACTAGGAGAATTGACACATTTAAATCATTTTCAGAATATTTAAGCTACATAACACCTTTAAAGCAATTAGTATAGAGAGTTTAAATTGTAGTTGCTTACCAAATTGTGGATTTCATCTTATAGTTACCACTCAGTTGATAGATCATAAAAATATGGGCTCATATTTTCATAAAATAATAATAAAATCAAACCTATTACCACTTGTTACAAAATTGAAGGTTTATTTAAAAATAACATTTATTTTTAGGTTCTGATTACATTTTAATGGACAATTCTTTGTGATGTGGCTGGTGAGTAGTAGTGTTGCAGAATTGAAAGAGGTCTTCATTCCCTGTGTTGTATTACCCTGTACTCAAAACTGCGGTTCATCTGGCCAGTTCTGTCATCTTTTTATGTAACAGGCAACAATCGGTTTAAGATTTATAATGCAAGAGTACTGACTGCTCTGAGGTTTATATTCTATGAACCCTAAAGTGTAAGTGGAGAGGAAGAAGGGATGTCAGTCAGTACTGGTTCCATCCATACGCCTATCTCAGGAAGCCATGCAGCCCAGACTGTAGCCCAGAAAGATGGTGGCACTTGTCTAGAAAGAGCTATAGGTGAAAAGCCAGATGGTACAATGGATTGGGTGGTGAAATAAGCACAGGAGGAGAGAAAGACTTAGATGTGCTTGGGACATGTGAATGTGTCCAGAAGTAATTCTCATAATATCTCAATAAAATAAAGTGAATATTCGGCAATTTTGACAGATTTTTAATAGTGACTTTTTGTTGGAGTTTAAACTTATCAGTGTGATATGTTTTATTCTTGGCTTTTCACAACTTGTGAGATTTCTTGAAATAGTATTAACATCAGAACAATTCCATCTGTATCTCCTGAATGTTTGACAAAATGTATTCGCTATACCTTTACCCATTTAAGTCAATAGTTTAGTTCCTTTTTTTAGTAGAAAGTATATTTCTTTCCATTATTATTAATGATCACCTAGTATATGTAGACAAGAGAAATGTGCACTGAGAGTAAAGAAAATGAATTCGATGTAAGACTTTTACCTTGAGAAGCTTTTATCCTATCACAGGAGATAGAAATGTAAGCATACAGTTATGACAGTTTGAAAAATACTGGAATACAGGCATAGGTAGAATACTGTGCAAAGAGAAAGGAGTAAGCAATGCACAGAGAGGCTCTAAAAGTATGTTCTTCCGGGGCGCCTGGGTGGCGCAGTCGGTTAAGCGTCCGACTTCAGCCAGGTCACGATCTCGCGCTCCGTGAGTTTGAGCCCCGCATCGGGATCTGGGCTGATGGCTCAGAGCCTGGAGCCTGTTTCCGATTCTGTGTCTCCCTCTCTCTCTGCCCCTCCCCCGTTCATGCTCTGTCTCTCTCTGTCCCAAAAATAAATAAACGTTGAAAAAAAAAATTATAAAAGTATGTTCTTCCACTGAAATAACTTCTAATAGAGTCCCACATGCCTGTCACAACATAGTCCATCCTTCATGTCTCTCTTAATGGTCGCTGGCCTTCACTGATAACGTTACTGAAATCTGACTATGAGAAACTCCCTCATGAGTAGTCAGGTGAAAGCTTAGCTGTTTTTGGTAAAATATCTTAGATTTTATGTGATAATATTCTTTCAACTATGCATATTTCTCGAGCCTGGTCTTAATGTACTATAGAGGAGTTATCCTGAACCTGCCCTAAATGTATTTTTCATTTCCTTATTTCTCTCTTCTCCATACTCTATGCATTGTAGAGTACCTGTTTAAAATGTCTCGATGACAGGGGCTGCATCTATATTTTATTTGTAAATCATTCATCCCAATTATGAGCAATAAGGGCACCAGACAGAGCTTTATTAGGGGTGAATTTTACCAATACCGATCGTGGACCAGATACAGAAATTTATGTGAGTCTCATTCCATACCAGATGATCTTTTTATATATGTTTTTCTGACTGGTCATAGAAGTTATTCATAAATAAAGGCTTATCAAGAGCCTTGCTTACAGGAATTGAGGGCTTAAAAATTGTTACAAGCTTATGAAATGAAGACTATCATAGGCAATTATAAAATACTGTTTCTTTGCACTTTCTGTTTGTGGAGACAAGTAAGCCTTCCCTAGTGCTTTATGAAAAAAGCAGTTGACACTTAAAAAAAAGCCAATTAGTAATAGAGCTACTTAATTGTTCATTTGGCTTTATGTCTCTCCAAGTCAGTTTGTTTGCTAACATTTTCAATAACAGCAAATAGGAAGTGTGGTTTAATGTGAAAATCAATACTCAGTAGAGATCAACAAACCATAGCCACAAACAAATGGTGAACTAGCGTTGTTGTTGTTGTTGTTTTAAATCCATTTGAACAACAGTTTGAATTCTTTTATACCGAATCCATCCCAAGAAAGATCAAAAAGAATGAGTCAATAGTTAGTACAAGTGAGATGATACAAAAAAATTTATAGGAAATAAATTCACAAATTTTTTGAGTAAACAAAGCATTGAAACATTAAAACTCATTGTGAAATCCAGCATAATATTAAGGCTTATAAATGCACATTTTTTTCTTTTTTTTTTTTAATATATGAAATTTATTGTCAAATTGGTTTCCATACAACACCCAGTGCTCATCCCAAAAGGTGCCCTCCTCAATACCCATCACCCACCCTCTCCTCCCTCCCACCCCCCATCAACCCTCAGTTTG